GCTGTCGGAGTTCTCCTTGGCCACCAACAGACATCGGAATTCTACCCGACGTCGGACCTTCACTCTTCGCCAAGTTTCTACTCGACGCCGGACTTCTACAGGTTATCGGACTTTCGTTGGACGTATATCTGAAGATGGGTTTCTTTCCATTGTTGGACTTCTACCTGACGCCATCCTTGTGACCTTCATCGTCAGACACATACCTTCCAGCCTCCGTCACAAAACTACAGTCCTTCAGACATACATCGCCCACTGACAACAGTCCTTCCAACCTCCGTCGCCCGCCGACTACGGTCTACCTGACTTACGTCGCCTGCAGACTACGGTCCTTTCGACCTACATCGCCAGACAACGATCGTCCAGACCCCAGGTCTCCTACAGATTACGGTCCTTCCAACCTCCATCACCTACAATGACTCTTCCAACCAAACAAACATGTCTATGTTGATTATTGTAACTCCCACCATGTAATACGCTCTATATGATGTACGTTTGTAACATCAAGCTAAGGCCTTCTTTTTAAGAAGGGCCTCATTTGTAATCGACTGCAAATACTAGTGGATTCGTTCAAACTGGGCCAGGCCCCGTGGTTTTTCCCCCTTTTTAGGAGTTTTTCACGTAAAAATCTTGGTGTCTCATAAATGTTAGACCCTCTCTCTTTATCTGATTGCGTGCCAGATTTTCGTACAACGCTAAGACGTTAAATCTTATATTTCTCTACCGCCGCGAATACTCATGGACGCAACAAATATATTAAAAAACACAATACTTCAATTTTTTTTTAAAGAAATAAAAAAACTGAAGAAAAATTTCTTAGCACGAACAACAATGCTGCAACCTTGAAGTTTGGAGTGATGCAGCCCCCCACTCTTTGCTTCTAAGTCTACTCTGTAGTGCCACGACCTTCCAGCCTACAACGTTGGGGTTCGGTATGTCGCAACACTATGCTCCCTATCCTTAGCTCAAGCTTGGAGCATTGCAACACTCCAGCATTACAATATTGTAGCGCTCTATATATATATACATCGAGGGTAAAGTCCCCGACCCCCTAACAAGTGGTGCGATAGCCTCTGCAACCCTCGACGAGCTTGACAGGCAATATTCAAATATGAGACAACTATACAAACTGATTGATAGACACAATCTGTTTCCATACAAAACAAGTATGATCTCTTGGAGTAATCATAGATACTACAACTGGAGGTTCTTTAATGTATAAGTCATTTGGGGAAGCATATGAATTAAAAGATGATATATCTCCTAATAATTTCTAGTGGCCTATTGATAAGGTAAATCGTAAGATAATTGTTGGAATCTATGAATCAGATGCATTTTCAATTTTAACTGCATAAGATACAATAATTTTTAAGAGATTGAACATAATAAGAATCAATTCAGGATCTTTATATGAATAACTATACAATTAAAAGATCAAAATTTAAATTCTAATGGAGATAAATGTGAGCAAGGGATTGAAAATGTTAATTTGATTAGAAGAGAAAATAATCCCTACTCAAATTCTATAATCCAAGTTAGTGGAACCATCCTAATTTGAATTGGTCAAATATTATTGGTGGTAATAATCAATGGAATTCAGATCAAAATAATCAGAAAATTGGAACAAACTTCAGCAACCTATTATTAATCTTAGACCTTCATATCCTCTAAAATTTAATCAAAATAATCAGTTTGGAAATAGAAAGTTACCTTTGGTAGAGGTTGTGATGCAGTTGGGAAGATTTAGGATAAAAAATTCATTTCACATTTTCAAGGTTCATGGTCATAGATTTAAACCTTATGGATGATGATGATGATGAGAAAAATTATGGTTAATTAGAAATTTTTTACTAGTTGGTCTAAGAGAAAGAAGTGCAAATGGGTAAATGTTACCCTTGTTTTGTAGCATAGATTTTTCTTTGCTTTAGGGGAGATCCTAGTGATTTGATAGTTTGTCATATTATAGTTCTTGATTTTGTTTGTTATGGCCATGAGAGCCAAGATTAATGTGATGTGAGAATGATGCCTTAAACACTAGTTATTATATATCATTTGTTTGATTTACATGTATTATTAAATGTAGTTCCAATTTGCTTGAATTTATATTTGATTTAATTTCCCTTAAGCTTACACTATTACATTGTCTTCCATTAATATATACACTTTTTTATTGTATATTTAACCAAAATACAAATGTTAATTAAAAATTATGTAAAATTAGAATAATAATAAAACCCTATATTATAATTTACATGAATAGTACATTATATTTCATAAATTGGAAAACTTAATAATTAACTAACTTAGATCATTTAAGCTATGGACTTAACTTGAAGTTATAAGTTATTGTATCCCACCTCAACATCCATGGTATCTTCTTCATTATCCTCCTCTTCCTGAATTCGGATCTCCGAGAAGCACCGCCATTAAATTTCTGATTCATTATTCGATAGAAAGATTTCTTCAATCTACGGGCTACAGTCAAAGTTGACGTCTTCTGTGGATGGGGTTAGTGAGCAACCAGATCCCTAGATGATTCTCCAGGGTGTCGGACGTCAAGGCGATCGTGATTATGGGCCTTCTTTGGTACCCATTTATGACCTTGCTTATTAGTGGGTGCAGATCTTCGGGAAGCTGTGCTGGATGTCACTCCCAAGTTGAATCTTCTTTCTTACTCTTCTTCTCTACGAGGCTTTGGCCTCCAAATCTCTTTTCCCTTATGTTGGGACCTCTCGGCGGTGGATCCCTGAACCCAAGGTTCAGGAGTTATGCCCCAATATTCACCACGTGGGCTCAGCTTGAAATTTTTTCGAGTCACCACAGGTGGTGACTCCTATGGCGGAGTTCTCGTAGCCTCAATTACCAGCAGCCTTTGGAGATTCTTTTTCATGAATCGAACTCTGCCTCTCTCTCTCTCTCATCATTAAAAAAGATTTTATCACATTTAGCTAATTCACTCAATGATGAGTTGCCCTAAAAAAATTGAAGAGTCATTCTTAGGTAAAAGATGAAGAGTCGCCACATGTAATGATGTAAAGAATTACCATAATTGAATGACGAAGAGTTGTCACAAATATGTCAAACGACATCGTTGCCTAGGAGACTTACTAGTACTTGAACACAATGAAAGCCGTATGGCATCTCCTCAAAGCAACCATCTCATAAGAAACTAAGAGTGAGTTTCACTAAACTAAATGAAGGGCAAGTACCCAGCCGTATGCAGCATTTCCTACAATTCTCTTAGCCCTATAAATAAGAAGCTAATCGACATAATTGAATTTATGCCATTTTAACTATTTTTTCTCTTGCTCTAGCTAAACTTGCCAGTAAAACCAGATATCACCTATGTTGCAACGATACGGATACGGCGACACGGATACGACATGATGGATACAGGACATGTCAATTCTTAGAAATACAGGATACGGATACGGCGCAAATACGGCGTTATAATATATAAATTATGCATAAAAATTAAGAAAATAATCAAAACGTAATATCTGAAATGACAAAGAAAATTGAAAGCAATATCATTTGTAACATTGTATCTTATAATATCAAAACGTAATACGGCTTTCAATTCAGGCTCATCAAGTGAAAGATTAGCAATTTCTAATATTCACATATTCTCAAGAGATACAAATCCATCTCCAGCAACATCCCACGTCCTGTGAAATTTTTAATTAAGAGTGTAGATATGTTGCGGCTATGCCGAGGGTCCAAGGGGGCGCTACCCCTTGGCGGGGTTCGACCGAGCAGTACCGAGTGATACCGAGTTTCTGTATCAAGTTCCAGTACCAAGCGGTACCGAGTTCCGGTACCGAGCGAGCAGTACCGAGTTCCGGTATTGCTCGATATCGAGCAGTACCAAGCAGTACCGAGCGGTACGGAGCAGTACAGAGCAATACTAAGTAATTCTGAGCAGTACCGTACAATACCGAGCGTTTTTTTTTTTAATGGGACATGCGCATCCGATACGCGTGGCAGATCAAATTTAAATAATATTTTAATTAGACACGGCAAAGCCGTATCCGTTCCGTATCGGAGGCGTATATGTATCCGACACGTATCCGATACAACATGCCTCGTAAATAGGCGTATCCGTGCAACATAGGATATCACCTATGAAAAAATCTGAAACCAACAGCAGCAACATCTTAAGATTAGTTATGGGCCATTTCCTCTATTATCCAATGTTTTCCACTATTTTCTTCGTTCAAATTATGAGTAATGATGTAAGCCCGCACACAATTTACACCATGGCTGGCAAATACCCGAGCCTTGCATGGATATGGAGAACTGTAGCTAATGGCCCAGAACTCCATGTTATCTTGTCTTTAGAAATTCTTTGTTAATGGTCCACAACCAAATAACCAATGCTCAAACAAAGTTCTTATGCAACCCATGATCAACCAACTTTATATTTATAACAAAAACATTTCTTTATTTATTTTTTATCAACCAAAAATCTTAGTTGCAAGATTTCATGTGCACACTCGAAATCACAACACACTGATTGAAACTAAACTCAAGAAACTTAGTAGGTCGGATTCGAATGCTCACCTAGCCAAAAAAAAATTGTATGTGAGAGCATGCCAAGCATTTTTCTTTTCCCAATCTATCCTACCCACCAAAATTCATTTCATATTTGTATTTTTAAGAAGTAACCATAAGTACAAAGAAGGTTAGCTCTGTGATTACTACGTGCGGAATCCGGACCTAGGAAACCGTTCTATTTTGTGACTGTGAACAGCAAAAGCACAGTAAAAGTGCAGCTGCACAGTAAAAGCGTAGGGGTGAACAGCTACGCTTTTACTGTTCACAGTCACACCACCGAAGGGTTCTCCTGACCCGAACTCCGCACATAATAATCTCTCCAGTAATAGGGTGTATAGGCTTCACAACTTGGAATTGATGAAAAATAAGTAAGAATTAGCCAAAAGATGGGCTTGTCAAAGTTTTGCAGTATAAAGCAAGCAAAAATGATGAAATTTGGCACATGATAGCAATAAATATTTAAAGCCATGATGATAATCTATCTGTCTCGCCTTGCTAAAAAGCCTTTTGACTTCAACATCATTTAAACTCTTACACATGTATGTAACTAGTTGCGACCATTCTAAGTCTTAAAAAAGCCAAGTGCACCAGTGACATCCACCAGTAAACAATCTATAAACTACCCAATACTTACAAATTACAGCACCACGAGCAATGAAGTCCTTTCTTCTTAATGCCCAGGAACAATACAGTCACTACAAATAAGCAGCAGCAAAGTCTCCTACTATCTTCTTGACCATGTAGAAGGAACATAAACTTCAGACACTCAAAAAATAACAAAGGCTAAGAAAACAATTTTAACTTTAAAACAAATTTTTGTTCTGATCCTTTAAGCCATCAACAATTTTCACTAAAATTGGAACCTGCTTGGCCTGGACTTCGTCATCCTGGTCTCCCCATAAGCCTCGTCGTTGTCCATTCTCTTGTTGTTCCTGAATGCAGCGCAGGCAACAACATAAACAAAGACGAGGATAATAAGGATTACAATGTTGATGATTGAGACTTTTCTCCAGCTGTGTTTCAAGGTAGCCAAAAGGCCAGCTTTGCAAGAGTCGCAATGGTAGCACAGTTGTTGCTGATCATTGCTCCATCGATTGCAATCAATATCGTTCACAAACATCTGCGCACCAACGTTCCATAGTGTCTCGTTCACGTATACGTATCCGCATGATGTAGGTGGCTTGCAACAACCAGACTGCAAAATGGAATTTTGCATTAGTTGTGTGTAACTTATCTTTCCCAGGATCCAGTTGAATCAATACTTGGAAAACTTAAAAAAAAAAAAATCAAGATTCCAAATTTGATCATCGTTGTTACTAATTCAAGATCATTCAAGACAACTTGGCGCTTCCCGTTAACTCCACCCTGTCCCATAACCCTACCCGGAGCATGCAATGCTTTAGCAGTAGAGAGAGAAACACTAATGGGGCAAAATATTGAAAGAGAGAGGGAGGAATGACTTTCCCTTGTGGAAGATAGATCTCCTCTGGATGATTTGGCTAAAGCTAAAACTGAAAGTCTGAAGGGGCATAAAGGTGATTGTTTTAGTGGCTTAAAAGAGCAAAAAGTTTGCCAAAGAGTAAACTTGCTCTAATTTTTTGTAATTCTTCATTTTAAAGTTATTTATTAATCTAGCAAAGTCATCAACATCTTTTTATGGACACCTGAAAAACATCATCAATGGTTCGTTTTCCCTTTGCTCCTCTCTCACGACTCGTGACTCATGATCTTGAGCACAGCTTACATTCTCCTTTTTGCTCCTCTCTCGCCCCCAAATGAAAATCGCGTTTAAAATTGCGCAATAAGAGGCGCGCCTTGAGGCGCACCTCTGTGCAATTTGGACCAAACAAGACTTGAGGCCTAAGCAATTTTGGCGTTTGTTGAGGCTTACAACTCGAGCAGAGTGAGGCGCGCCTCAATTGCGCTACTGCGCAATTTTGCTTGAGGCGTGCGCCTCATAGAAAGGTTCCACTCACTTTAAATAAATATGAAAATTGCCTCTCCCTTCTACCGGTCTAAGCCAAACCGCAAGCATCCCGAATCCGATCCCGCAAGCTCCCGTTCCCGAACCCGATCCCTCTCGAAGCCGGATCTCCCACACGTCTCCGGCGCCTCTCCGGCCGTCGTCGCCGCTCGCCGGTGAGCCCTTTATTTCCGGCCGCCCCTCTACATCCTTTCTTGATTAGTTCTTAGAGTTTTTTAAAGTTTAGGGTATGATTTTTCAACTTATAGGAAAGCTAGGGTTTTAAATTTTTTGAGTGTTTTTGTTTTATTTTGTTTTTTTTTTCCTTAGGAAATATGGTTAAGGGCAAGGAAAAGTCTACTACATCATTGCGAAGGGACCCTTCTTGAAAATACAATGTACAAGTTGACATAGGCGGCGGTGAGAAGACTTATGTGTATTTGAAATGCAATTTATGCGAAAAAGTAGTGAACGGCGGAGTAACCCGCATGAAGGAACACTTATCATGCTCTCATAAAAACGTAGCACCGTATGCAAATGTGTTGGACAAGCTGAAGGATGAAATTATTGCTTACATGAAGAAAAGTACTACTGAGTTTTGATAGACTAATATTTTGTGGTTTTGTACTTTGGGACATTTATTTTATTGCATTTTTTTTCTTACTTTCCACTAATTTCACATGTCATTTAGATGTTTTTATTGTATGATAGAATCTTGTTATTATTTACCTGCTAAAACCTTTAAATTCTCATTTACGCAATTCCTCACACTGCCTGGAGGCTTACGCCTTGCCTCACGGACGAAAAACACCTTAGGGCTTATTTACGCAATTTTAAACCTTGACCCGTGGTAGATGTTTATGTCTTCTAAGCTCTAAGAGTCATGTTATTTGCATTCTTAATTTTAATCTTACAGCTCCTCTTGGCTCCTATAATGAGACGGCAAACGGAATTATTTTAATATATTATAACCTTTCAAATGAGACGGCAAACAAAACTATTTTAATTTAGGCCCCACCAATAAAATTTTTGGCTCCGCCACTGCCCATAACCATGAACCGCAATCATCCTTCCACAGCCATGCAACTTCAACAAGAGAGATTTCCCTCCGTGCCTTTGCCCACATGGCTGCAAATCCCTTCTCCCATTCATAGATCCTTCGCACCTTCCAATTCCTTTGTACCTTTGCACATCCAAGTCTCCCATCGCCAACACAGACAGGAAACTCCATTGCTATCTTATCGATTGAAGAAACCTCAGTTTCTTTGAGAAAATTCTCAAGAGTGGCACCCAATCTGCTCTCAAGATCACGTGTTGTATTCTTCCCTTATAAACCAAGAAGAAATCACCTCCATCCATATCACCTGCAATTCTTCGTACCATTCGCCTCCTAATGCCTTGGGTAAAACCCGATAAGAAATATACTGAGAGACCAGTGGCATGAATTATGTTTAAAATCACACAAAGTTAATACATAGCGATTTAAAGAAAGATCACCACTAAAAAATGAGAACGGAAAAAATTAAAAAAAAAAAAACAAAAAGAAATACACTTGCAAGACATGAGAAATTTTGATTAAAGTGAAAAAGCAAAGTTTAAGTGGAAACTCTTGGAGTTCCACGAAAGCTTTTTACACTTTTTTTTTCTGACAAAAGAGGTATGAAACCCATAATAATGGGGAGAAAGAGCTATAGTACGGATTTATTAACAGGAATGTTTTCCACTTCCACATCCCAATTACTAGTGGATCTAAACTTATTAACCTTACAAGTTGAGGGAGTCACAAAGGGAGCTCAGTCTGATGGGAATTACTCTTACTCATTTTTCAGCAGCAAACAGACTATTGTCCGGCCATTGCATTCGAGCCTAACCTGGGCTACATGTCTGGTATAGGAGTTTAAGGCTTCATTTGGACAGCTTTTTTGTTGTTTTATAAAGCAATTTTATGTACTAAAAAGTGGCTTTAAAAAACAGTAAGAATGTCATCCCAAACAAAGCATAAGTTTTCTCAATTTTCTAGGTTCCAAGGAATTGCTATCATGCAGTTTAAATTGAGTTTTATTCGGTCATAAGTAGGCTTATGGCTTAATGAACTATTAATGAAACTTTAGTTCATTGTTAACAAGTATTACACGCTATCATATTAATCTTAACCATAATTAATGATTTATTTAAGAAACTGATCAAGTAAGAAATCCCAATATCATTCAGAAATATGGTTGTAAATAAGCATTAATAATTGAAAGGTCTGAACCATTTAAGATGAATATGTGGTCAAAAAATGACGCACTTCATCATAGATAATAATTAATGAAAAATCATCATAATATTATATGTAAAGTTAATGGACAAAATATAAATAATTAACCATAAGCCTCAAGTATTAACATGTGATAATTTCTTTAAACCTTAAGTACTTTAGCTTTCCTTTAATCACAAAAAATTATTAGACTTTTGGGAATTTCCTTCTACTCCTACTTGGAAAGAATTGGAGCTTTCATGTTTCAAGCAATTTTCCAATGGTAAGGGCCCCACTGTAATAATATTAATAAAGACCTCATTCCTCAATAATGCAGCTAATGTGGTCGTCTAGCTTTGTTTGCAAGGAAAAGGCAAATCAGAAAGAGAAAGCCCCATCGAGATTTTTTTTCTTTGTTTGCCTTTCCCTCCTACAATGTCTTTTTCCCCACCATTTTCTCATTTGTCGATGGTGACCTTGGTTCTTGAGATTTCAATAAAAAAGTCTAAAAAGTAATGATTTTGCTTAATTCCCAAGTAATGATTCTGCTTAATCCTCCTTTACTGATTCTTTTACTGCAGATTTATCTTCTTGTTTGCAGCAGAATCTAAGTGATCCGGTTCAATTATATTTCAAGTACTTGTTAAGCAAAATGATAGAAAAAGAACAAAATGGAATCCTCCATCCACCACTCTCCTATGAATAGTTTCTCAAATATTGATTAACGGCTAATAAGCTGACAACCAATCTGAACAGAAAGAACAACCCACCACTGGTTGTCTTGGTGGTGAAGAGTCGGCTGGGCAAAGTCCAGGTCCCTGGTTCGAATACCTTGGCAAGCAGTGTTGGCCTGTGTAAATTGGTGTGGGTTGCATGCTAGGTCGACCGGAGTTTACATTGGCCTAACGACAGTGCTTCCTCGTCACAAAAAAAAAAAAAAAAAAAAAAAAAGGGACTGGAGCCACAAAAAAAAAAAAAAAAAAAAGAAAGAACAGATGCAAGAACAGGTCAAGGGTTCAAATCCCCTTCCAGAAAATAGGAATAAGAGTCAGACCAAAAGGAAAACCAACTTCTCACTCTCCGTTGTACTGTACTTGCTTGCCCTTCTAAAGGAAACGTATAGTGCAGCAAAATATAGAAACAAGAAAGCAAAATCAATCATCAGTAGAAAGAAATCTAACCAAATAAACAATTTTTTATTTTTTTTAGCAAATCACTCTTATTCAAAATTCTCCCCTTAAGCAGAAAAATAAGTGAAGCGAGGAAAAAAAAAAAAGTTGAATTGAAATCAAGCTGAGCTTACACTCAGATCGATCTGTATTTCAACTTGAGGAGCTTAAAAAAAAGGAAAGGATACCGAATCACCTCAATAGGGGAGAGCTGGCGCTGGCTGAACATATCAGCGGACTCGGAAAGAATCATCCCCGTCGCCGGGTCGCGGATGGTTCGACGCATGCCTGAACAAGCATGAACATCTCGAAGACAAGAACTAATTTTTGACCAGTATTTGGGATCTCTCACGCGGTCCTTAAGCCATCCGGAGTAATCGGAGAGCTGGTACTCGAGGAAGGACCTGTTGACGATAACCTGGCCGTGGCCGCTGTCGGTGACGGCGAAAGCGAAGACGATGAAGCCGATTAGGGCAATGATGACGAGAAACATGACGAAGAGATAGAGCTGCAGAAGCCAAGTCTGGCGGTAGCAAGCCCCGACGAAGCCCAAGAGAGAGATCACCATGATGGTGATGCCGATGATGATGATCGGCCATTGGAGGAATCGAAGGCATTCGGTGCTGTTCGCCCGGCTACTGAGCCAAATCCCTCCGCCCAGGATCGGGATCGAGGCCAAGAAAGTTATGAAATTGATGACCCCTATGAGGTTATTGGTTCCCCGCATCATCTTTTCTTCTCTCTCTGCAATTTCTTCGCTCAGTTCTCGCTCTTGATGGGTTCTTGACGGGAGCTTTGAGGGGACTGCAGACAATCTAGCGAGAGTGGCGGGGCTAGCTCTGAGGGGAGCGGAGACTATCAGGGAATAAAAGAAAGTGTATATATAAAACTAAGAGACTTTTGTATTGGGAGGTGGCCGGTGGTGGTGGGGATGGGGCGGGTTAACGGTGGTAAATGGAGGTTAATTTTCGACTTGGATGGCGAAAGCGGGAATAAAGTTTCATATTTTAGGGCCGTTTGGGATTTTTTAAAAAATATATAATTAAAAAAATTTATTTTATATCTCTCCTAATTCATCATATTTATTTTATATTTTTATTTGAAAAAATATCTTCCAAAATAATAGTTTTTTTTTATTTTTTTAATGTAATACTATTTGCTCTAGCAGATGAAAAAATATGAGGATGATGTTGATTAGGATAGTGAAGTATGACATTTATGTGTAAATATTTTTAATATTTAAACAACATTTTGGTCATATAATTAAAGATATTCTTTAATGATTTATATAATTTATATTGATTATGAGAAAGAAAATATATGTGAAAATTAAGATCATTTTAATAGTATCATGAACATTGAACTAGATTCGATCAATAGTTGAAAGAGATTCAAGCATGGTTCGAACCTGATTCAAGCTTGTTTTGAACTTTAATAGAATCTTGTTTGACCCTTATTCTTTATTTGCTCTAACCTCTTTTGATCATTATTGGGTTCGATTCGAATAAGATTTTAAAAAGATTGAAGAAGATTCAACCTTTGTTCAAGCCGGGTTCAAATTGTATTTGAATCGTGTTATAATCTTACTAGTGTTTAGATGTTGAATATTTTTTACTTCGGCATCTGAATCAAACATAAATATTTTTGAGCTATGAGGAGGAGAATGAAAAATTGATAGAAAGCTTGGTTGGACTTTTATTGAAAAATGGAGCAAATGATTGTGATTCAAAGAAACTTTTCTTCAAAGATCCCATGGATTTTATATACATGATTATAGAGTTTGATAAGAACAAATTTAGTTTAAAGTTGGAGTGATTTATCATTTTGTTGGAGAATGTATTCCTCCAATTATTGGACATTTCCTATTTATCATTTTACTTGTGGTGGTGAGGGGCTAAGGATATGGGGGATAGTTTTGAGTGGTTGTCCCCTTTGGGATTTGGATCTTGGGCTTCATTTGGTGGGGTATTCAATGCCTAAAATCACTTGGGAATGATAGGGATGCCTTTAGATGTGAACTGGACTATTTGGTGAAATTCTATGTGCGTGGTTTATAGGCCAAAGGATAAGAAAAAAAAAATCAAGAATAGGTCAAGGTGATCTAGTTTTAATATATTGACTAGTCTTGGAATCTTGAGTCAGTAGAGAGATTTAAGGGTGTTTTGCGGGGATGGAAAGTCTATAAAAAATAAATAGGACTTCTGCTAAAAAAAATCCAAAAGGGCGGGGGGAAGGAGACCTTAGAGATTTCACTCTCAATTTTATGTTAAAATAGTAAAACAAAAATCTTTTACATTTACTTTTGGTAATGATTAAACTATTGCATCAAGTTGTCTAATTCAAATTACAGAACAAAACAAAACAAAAATTGAGGAGAAAAAAATCAAATCTAAGAAAGCAAATATGGAAGTAGAGTGGAACCATACTAAAATTCTCTCTCCATACAGGTGGCAGCCCTTATTACTTAGATGGCCAAACCAAGATGGTGAATAGGATTATGGTACCCCTATTTCATTGATTTACACTATCCAAATACTTTGAATGATAGTTTTTTTGTATATCCAATTCATTTTTAATAGTGTAATTAATAGTTTAGCTAATTAAGTCCCATGTAAAGTATGACCTAGGTATTTTTCTTAAATCCAATTTGATTTGGAGTTCTTGGAAAAAGAAATAACCAATCCCTAGAGTTAAGATGAAGGCCTTGAAAGAGCATAATGATTTTTGGAGAAGATCTAAAAATTTTACTTTGAGTTAAAGTCACTACCTAAGAAGATCTAATAACTTCATAAGAGTCGACCGATAATACTAAATAGGTAAGAAATTTAAAGAAGGAGATCATGTCTGATCCGCATCAGAAATAACATATTAAAATATATGGGGAAAATATCAAACCCATCAAGTATGTGTTACTAGATTTGGGATAACACATATTTTTTTGGACTTGGCTCTTATACGAGTTTATACTCGATAATGAATGTAAAATTTTAGAATTCATATGTAAGAAGTATTATCTTTTATCGATGACCAAGTGCTAGGCCGATAATATTGGATAAATAAGACAAAATCATGGAGAAAAGAATTATAACAATCCGCTTATATACCATGATTTTTTATAGAACTAGTAAGAAAATGTAATCGGCATCTAAAGAAAGAGGGTACACTTGAGGGAGAGGAGTTCAAATGTTTTTTTTCTTTTACAATTTAGTTCAAAGAAGTTAATTAGATTTTAAAGAGAGGGTATGTGATTAAAAAATTATGTGACTCAATAATATGAGGATTAGTAAAGATTACATGGTGGTTGAGAAGAGGCAACTAAAAGGATTTTTGATATTGCTAAGAGCATCCTTAGATAGGAAAATTAATACTAGCGGGTTCTAGGATGAGAAGAGAACTCATAAATGGAATTAGTCAAATTCTCTTAGGATATATGTTGAGTGCTAATAATTAAGGACCTAAAAGCCATAAAGCCAAAGGATTCCTGAGATCTAGAGCTCTAGAAAAGACGCTTCCAAAAGAAGCTAGATACATAAGCTAATTTTTAAACTTGAGAAAGTATTGACCATGTAGAAATGATGGTAATCTGGTTGTGAGAATCCATGTTTTACAACAAATATTAGTGGCTTGCCTCTTTTTATTTAGATTTAATATATCTATAATAAATTTATTGTATAAATTTGCATACAACAATACAATTAATGTAATCTACATTGTAATCAATATATCTTATTCTATAGAAAATTGTCCTCTCTCTCTCTCTCTCTCTCTCTCTCTCTCTCTCTCTCTCAATTAAATTACCTTTATTAAACCTTGGAATCTCTTATTCTTTGCTTTTTTATTGGGAAAGCATATTGAAATATTTGAAAGCTCACAAAAACCCTCCAAACTCCATAAAACTATTAATTTTCTCTACTACTTCATGCATCATTTCCCCCTCCCTCTCCATCCAACTCTTAGGCTACCCGTTGCTCATGTTTTTAAATAAAAAGATTTTATTTGTGTGTTTGATGACTTTTATACTGAAACTGAGCTCTTTTGAGTTCAATTGATCTAGAATTCACTTATGCTCTCTTTCATTTGATCTATTGAGTTAAAGTGGCATTAACCTTGGAGAAGAACAAGGAAGACAATCTATATAATGAAGGATTGTTCATGGACTCTTTCAATTTAACATTGTTTCATCACAAGAAAGAAAATGTCTCCAATTGCTAGTCTACTATGAATTATCTTATTTCTTATCATATTTTGAAATAAACTCTTATAAGGTCGCATAAATTGTGCAATCATCAAGTCTTGTTAGATTTCAACTTATGCTAACAATTGGAGACATAGCTTTCTTGTGATGTAATAAGAGTACATGCTTTAGATATCTCTCGTCTATTGTCCAGAGTGATGGTGAAAAAGATAGGATATTACTAATAGAATTCAAGTTCGATTGTCGAAGTTGAGGAATGCATCAAGCCTGTTGTATGATAGAAAAGTGTCCTTCAAACTTAAGGAAAAATTCTATAAGATGGTGATGAGACCTACAATGTTTTATGGCACAGAATATTGGCAATTTTAAAGAGAAACATACAATTAAGATAAGTGTTGAAGAGATAAGGATACTCATGTGGATGAGTGGACTTACTCTTTGAGATAGAATGTGAAACGAGCATATACTTGAAAAGATTGGAGTTGCACCAATGGCATATAAGATTATAGAGAGTCGTCTTAGATGGTTTTGTCAAATAAAATGTTGGCCTTCTAATGACCCAGTTAGGAGAGTAGATGCATTAGATTTGGACTATATTAATAGAGGTTAGAAATTATTAGAAATAATCTTTTTAATTAGATTTAAATGAGAGTTTAACTGTTAACAAGATACAATGAATAAAAAAGATTCATATAACTGGCGTACCCCACGTAGTGGGATAAAGACTTAACGTTGTTGTTGTTATTATTATTGTTGAAGCTATTGTTGTTGTTGATGTTATTGTTGTTGTTATACTAGTAATTTTTTAAGTACTAAATAAAAATCTAATAAAATCTTGTTGAAATAATCTTAAAATGTGTATTGCGGGAAAACTTCCCATTCATATTGCATTGATGATCATCTCGATGGTCATCATTGAATATGGATGCTTCGTTATCGCAAGAAAGCACAATGAATATAGTAATAGTTGTTGTTCTCAAAGTTTAGTTTAAAATTTAAATTGGTTCAAAAATAAGAAAAATTGATGTAAACTCCAAAATTAACATCCTTTTATATATTATATACGAATGGCACTTTCTATTCAAATGAACTCATAAGACCTAAAATTTTACCTTAGAGATTTATCCCAAAATGTAGTAACCGAAATTTCAACCAAAGCTGCTTTACAAAACAGTAAAGAAGCTATAAAAACAGTAAGAAAGTCATTATAAACGAAGCTTGTTTGGGACAACTTTTGTGCTGCTTCTTAAAATGACTTTTTAGTACAACAAATTCAAATTCAAGAAAGTTATGTACTAGAAAGTCGTTTTAGAAAACAAGAGGAAAGACGTCCCAAACGAAGCCTAAATCTCTCATCAGTATATATCTCTCTTCTCCATTTAAAAATGACATTAATAGATTTGTTTTTAAACTTAGTAAACTAATTTGTGATAGTTTATTTGACACGACTTAAAATCAACAAATCATTGTACTTTTTTTAATTTTTTTAGTATTATTTTTCATATTTTCATTTCACTTGTTCCAAAAATATCATTATCGTCATCTAATCATTAGATATTCCAAACAAATACATTAATCAACTTCAACAGTTGTTAAGATACGATAATTATTGTGCTGACCTACCAATGATCCAAATTACACACATTTATACTAATAAAATATAAAATACAACGCCATCAAATTTTTATCCCACTACATAGCA